GTTTATCGACTTCAGGCCCGGTAATAGTGGCTTATCCGTTCTGCCAGTGCCTTGATATTTGCCCTTGTCCTTGGCAATCGGACTGATTTTGGTGACCTTGGCGACCTTGGTGCCTTGGGCGAGCTTGGCAGGACAGCACTGGTAGGGCTCATAGGAGGGAATCTTGGGTTTCGCGCTTTTACCTCCCATCCCGATGTAGAAACAGCCGTCGCCTGCAGTAAGCAAATATACGAGTCAGATACAGAGAGAATCAAAGAGAGAGAAAGAAAAAGAGAAAGAGAGAAAGAGATTTTTAAGAATTGGCTAGCCTATGGCTGATCGGTCTCTTCGCACGAGTCAATCTGGGACAGACGTAATAAACGAGGAGTTAACGGAGATATCAAAAAGAGTCGAGACGACCGAATAAGGGAAGAAAGTGACAAAAAAGAGGGGGCGAGGAGGTGAGAGAGGGAGAAAGAGACAGAGAGAGAGAGAGATATATGAACGAGATATTGGGGATAAATAAGAGACCAGTTTCAAAGAGTCGAGGAAAGAGACATATTGACATTACGTATTGACTCGTGCGATTTTGACGTTGCTAGCGCAGATACAGAACGTTCCACTGCAATCCCAATTGCGTAGCAAAAGCCAAACGTGCATGTTTTTAATAGACGAATAAAATCTCGCGGCGAGTCGACGACTCTCTCTAGCTAGCTGTTAACAAATCGAGCGAGAAACCTTTCCTTTCGAGCTTGTATGCTCGCAATCGCGCGAACGTCCGACGTTGGACGTTGAACCGCGCGGCTGAATACACAGCGTGAACAATCACAGCGACTAGGAATTCGCCGAAACTCGTCAGTGATACTTCAAGACGCAGTTTTGATCTCTCGAGCGAATCATCGTCGCGTTAGTCCGACGAAGCCGGAATGTTATCCCCCTCCCCCCCCCCCAGTTTTTCCTCGCGCCTTTCAACTCGGAGACTCGCCCGATTCGTTTTCGACTCGGAACTTGCTGCAGACGACAGCTGTCAATTATAAATAGGAACCATCGGCTCGCTTTGGAGAAATTCGTATTACAGAGAGGGTGAAGATGCGATCGAAGTAGAGCTGGAGCTACGCACCACGATCACCGCAATGCTCGAACTTGGAACCTAAACCGCGACGATGCTCACTAATGAATGAAACTTGCATAAACTCGCGATTCGCAGTTCTAACTTTTCTTTTTTTTTTCCGTCACATGTATATGTGTTACGTAAGTTCGGTCACGTAGCTCCATCGATCGAGGGATCGTTACGAGGCGGGCATGCATCGCGAGAAAGATCGGAAACATCGGGGGGATGACAACGGCCGAATGGGAAAGAGTCCAGGCATATGATGCACTTTGCGTGTAAGTGGAGAAAAGAGATGATACAACAACGTTCATGCAGGTATGTCCTATACGGCCCAGCTCTACCGTGAATGGTGAGTGAGAAACAGCCACGTTTCATCTAAATTATTTAGTTATGGTTCAATACGAATCGATCTATTTGTATATACATCTCTATATTGCTTTTGGGATATTCATTGTCACGGTTTCTTTTCTTGCGCAATACAAAGCCCGTCACACTTCGACCTCACGTGAGCTCCTCTTCGGCCTCCTTCGGGTTGTCGTTGGACCTTTACCTTTGTCCAGGATTTTCTTCAGAGCTTTGTTCAAGCTTTTATTATTCTCTTCGTCATCATCATCATCATCATCATCATCGTCGTCATCATCATCATCATCATCATCATCATCATCATCAATATTATCGTCGTCGTCGTCGTCGTCATCGTCGTCATTATCGTCGTTACTGTCGTCGTCTTCGTCATCATCATCATCATCATTATCATCATCATCATCATCATCGTCATCACCATCACTATCATTACCTGCGTATTAATGGGGGTTATGGATAATATTCAGCGCGATCTCGAAAGCCAAATTGTGTATCTAGGTTTTTTGTGATCGATACGGCCTCGGTCCGAAGGGATAACATGCATTTTTAGAGTGACAAACATTATTGACGCATTATATTCTTGCATTATATTGTTATACGCGCAATATTATTATGTCATATTATGTGAAAAAAGAGAGAGAGAGAGAAACCTGATGTTCACCCTAACGATCATTACTTTCTACCTTGTATTACGTTTACAGTTTCGTGCTTACTTTATTATTATGCGAATAGGTAAGACAGGTGCGGGAGTTTAGTGAGTCAAATAGTGTCCGAAGCGTCATGTCGCGAAGCGAGAGATAGTGGAGAATTAATTAGGAGAAATAAACGTAGTAAACTATCGCGCGCGCGCGCGCGTATCTTGCCACGCGATAATTATTTCATGGTATTCCTGTATTCCACATTATGTTCGTCTCTTCGAATCTCTGAAATACCGTACGCTTTGCCGATCTGACGTCTTCGCGAATCTGCGGGAAAATATTCGCGATTTCGGCTCTCTGCGTCAACACGAATGACGAAATGACTTTCACGGATTAAACGCGTCCCGCGCGGCTCGTTAATAACGGAGCGACAGAAGCTACTGAGATACAAAGCCCCGATGTTCGATTTAATATATACGGTCGTTGCGATCGCGATGCGTTACCGCATAGTACGCGGAACAATGCGTTATTGTTACGCCGATGCGGTTGCACACTTGTAGTGAGGCGGTAACGGTGAAATTGAAATGGTGAGTGAAGGACAGGCGTGTGTATAAGTGACAAGCTTGCGAATGTGATTTAAATGCATTGGTACACATTGACCGCCCTGGTCAGCGCGATGCGAAGAAATGCCAATGTTATAATGCGTCTCACCGAACTTCGCGACATCTCACAGTTCGATCGAACCCTTTTTGACTTGAACGCGAGCCGGCATGTACGTGTCTCGCACTTTTGAAATCGACGACGAATGTGACAGAAAATTTCTCTCATGTATATATATGTATACACACACATACACACACACACATATATATATGTATGTGTATACGTGTATATATTCAACGGATGTTTTATTTTCGGATCTTTTTTTTTTATAAAATATAGATTCCTTTTCCGCGATTGTGGTGATCTTATGGTGATCGTGATGGTGGTAGTGTGATCGGAGTGATCACCACGGCGCGAGTGTTGTACTCGTAGCCCGGTGGTATAGTCACGACCGAGATTAACGTCACAAAGAACAATACACCAATAATAATAATCATCATCCTAGAAATCTCCTTACTTTTTTGTTCGATTAGCCATTCCAGAACTCTGTCCTCGTTCTTAAGATTACCTACAAAAGGCACACACACGCGTATCAGGATCAGCCGGGTTCGTTGGTGCACCGGGATCATTGTCGGTGGAGGGTTTTTCTTTTTTTCGTTTTATCGCTTTATCGACGTAATAGTTTGCTGGAAGTAACATGCTAAGTCTCTCTTCAGCGCAACGTAATCACATCGTTTTCGATGAACTTGCAAAACACGTTAGCGTAATTTCAAGAAGGGGAGACACGGTTTCCGATTTAATAAGCGTTTCTTTTCTATTTTAATCAACACAGCACGTGTATTCTTGTCATAATATTAGTACGATAGGGATTTTTTTGAAATCTCCCGGAATATTACTGTTATCTATTTGCGGACGATAGAGAAGTGCGACGATAAGATCGATTTCGATAATGAAAAATATCGATATAAAAATCAATGTGAAATTCATCGCAGTAATTAAGTGCAAAAATCTATATTTGATAAAAGAAGAATGTCAACGCCCGCCCTATGACAGCCAAGCCGCTGTTGTTAGAACGTAACAATTTATTAATTTTGTACTTTACGAATTTTCATCTATTGTAGATTCTCTCTGTCGTTTGAGTAAAGGAAATCGTAGAAAACCACGTAACGAGTTACAGGTTAAATTAATTTGTTAAAAACTGCGAGAATTTGTCGCAAATTCAAGCAGAGGACTTACTCGCTATTTGTTCATGCAGACTTCAGTTCTTCTGCATTGTGGTCACGCACGTTCCAACATCGATCTTCGGATCTTAATAGACGCGTGTGTATGTTCTCCCTATTTAGGAGAAGACTGCACTTGATATGCCCGTTGCTCTTCTGTTAAACTTTGACCTCTCTGCTTGTGTCTGCGATAAGTCTTCGTAATTCTTAAGGACGATTCAATTTGCGACTCCTCTCTTTTGTCATTTTCTTTATTCAAGCTGCAAGAGGCTATGCAGTACACCGAAACATTTTTGCAAAGTGCGAAATTAGCGCGAAATAAATTGTTACATTCTAATAAAAAGGTTTTGATTCTCACAGATCAGACATTAACATACTTTTTTTTGTTGTAATTCTAGGTGCTATACTTATGTTTCTCTACACTTGAGGTTTCCGCTTCTGCGCTGCAGTCGTTTTGATGACATCGAGCAAACGCACATCCAAAATTCCTGCGAAATACGTTGAAATAAAGAGACATATCCATAAAATAAAACCGCAGCTGATCAAGCAGATCTGTAAAATAGCTCGAAAACTTGACTTTTGCTCCGACAATCGATAAATAACTGTATTGACGTGGCACGTGACGTAAATTTTTTAACTTATCTTTTTTATGATTTCGTCACATTAATTTTACGGCCACTTATTGATTGTTGGAGCAAAAGTCTTCGGATTTTAACAGATCTGCTCAATCAACTGCAATTTATGGTTATTTTATGGACACATCGTTTTATTTCAACGTATTCCTAAAAATTTTGAGCATACGCTTTTTTTTTTACTTCTAACGTCATTAATCAAGATGGTTTCGGCGAGGAAACGGAAACCCCAATATTTTTCACTGGGATTGTTTTTTCAATGATCAATGATTTATCCTGCGCCGAAGAAGAGGGACTTAGTAAGGGACAATACGGTGGCAAGGCGCATGATTTCGTTTCCCCTCGAGTATTTGAATAATACCGGCATCGTTCTCGAAATATGCGGGAAACGAAGATCGTACGACGGGGACGGGTCGAGCTCGATGATAGAAAAGAAGAAATTCTTGGCACTTACCGTCATACATGATGGGCACTCCGGTCTCATAATAAACGAGAGCTGGGAAGGAGAAGACGCCGATCTCGGCCGCGAGTTTCGCGTCATTCGACTTGACGAACTGGATACCGTGCTTGTCGGTATCATCGTCAATCGTTTCCAACTCCTCGAGGATCTCCGGGCAGGATTCGCACTTGTCATCGTCTGTCGAAGGTCGTTTCGATTTACGTCATAAAATTACGAGACCGGAGCTGAAGATATTTTTTCGTCAACATCGATGAGCCATGAGAGGATACTCACAGAAGAATACGGCGAGGTGCTCGACGTCGTTGATGAGCACCTGCAGCGTTTTCCTGTCGACGCTCTCGATCACGTCCGGCGTGGTCGTTCGAAGCTCGAGCACCCAGTCCAGAATCTGCTCCTCGTGCATCATGTCGCCGGCGTAGATCTGCCGGAATTTGTGCCGGTAGAACGCCAAGGCTGGCAGCCCCGGCAGATCGTACTCCTTGTCGATCCCTTCGTCGGAAATCTTTACGAAATCGATATCCTTCTCCTCGCACTCGTCGTCGATATTCTCGAGCTCCTGGAGGATCTTGTGACTCTTCTTGTCGCCCTCTTTGTCTGCGAGCAAACAAATATATCGCGATTATCGCTCGGTTCATTTGACCGCAGCGGTCTATTTCGACCTTCGACATCCGGCGATCCGGTAGAGACGTACAGAAAAATACGACTACGTAGTCGTTCTCGTCGAGAATGTTTTCCAACATCTTAGCGTTCACCTCCTCGATCCTCCCCGGTATCTCTAAGGTGTTCTCGTCCGTGATCCAGGACAACACTTCGTCCTCGTCGTCGAGATCACCGGTATAGATGAGCGGGTCCTTGTTGCGGAAGAATGCGAGGGTCGGGAAATGCTTGACGCCATACTTCTTCGCGATGCTGAGGTCCTCGGTGGTGACGAATATGATGCCGGTCTCGTCGAGCTCGTCGTCGATGTTCTCCAGCTCGTCGAGGATATTGTCGCATTCCTCCCCTTCGTCGCAGCTCCCACCTGACGTCGTGATTTATAACGATGATCGAATGTATTATCGGGGAATATGTTAGGTGTGCGAATTCATTCTTCGGTTTAGCTCCATTGAGTTTTCGCGCGACGGAAGAAAGAAAAAAGACACTTTTTATACAGGATGGGAAATAGCACGCGAAGCTTATTCTCCAGAAACGCGATCTTACTGAAGTACACCACGACGTATTCGTGGTCGTCTATGAGATCCGTCAGGATCTCGTCCGTGACCTCCTCGATGGTGGCGCTGTTCTTCTGCTCTATCAGCCACTCGAGGACCTCGTCCTCGTTCAGCAGGTCGCCCTCGTAGATCGCCGGGATCTTGTCCTCGAAGTACACCAGGGTCGGCAAATGATCGATACCGTATTCCTTCGCCTCGGCGTCGTTGTCTATACGCACGATCACGATGCCCTCCTTCTCCAGTTCGTCGTCGATGTTCTCCAGCTCGTTCAGTATCCGTATGTCCTGCTTGTCGTCCTTGTCGTCTGCGGAAAGTAACCGAAGTTCGCCGGTCGTTCTCACTCACGATCGTGCAACGTACACCTTACCTAGCGGGATAACAGTGAAAGGGTGGTTTAAAAGGAGGTAGAAAGACGAATCGATCGCTTACAAAACAGGACTGCTATGTACGGCGAGGTCTCCACAAGCTTCTCTACCATCTCGTCCGTCACTTCCGGGATCTCGACGTGCTTCTTCTGGTGCAGCAGCCAGCCCAGCAATTGATCCTCGTTCATGAGGTCGCCTGCGATTCACGATCATCGTCGAGCGATTCTATCTCTCAGCGATCGCCGTTTATATCTTATCTCGTTGCGTTTGCTCTCTGAATTTCTCGCAGTGGAATCCCACGCGAAATAAGTGACAAGTGGCGAGATATATTTTCACTCAAAGCTATAGTGAAAATATTGCCGTTCGAAGTCGCAAGAGTGAACGTTTTGCATAAATTTGGAGCGGAATCCGTACGAGCGAATGTTTCAGTTGATCAGCCCGGAAATCGATAACTCGCGTGTAGAGCGTAAAAACTCTCAGCTGGGAACTTTTACTTTCAAACCGCTGTGGTGCGGTGTGGAATACATCAGATTCACTTCTCAGTTCGGAGCGAAGATATATTCACTCGATGATTCGGAGTGAAGAATTCACTTTATACCTTGCGTGAAAAATCACTCGAATCCGAGTGCGACTTGTCGCTTTATTTCTCAAGCGAAGGTCACTTCAAGAAATTTCGAAAGCCCCGGGAGAGATACCAACCGTCGTAAACGTGCGGTATCTTCCGCTCGAAGAAGACCAGCATGGGAAGCGAGTCTATGCCGTATTCCTTCGCTTCTTCCAAGTCGCTGATCTTCACGAAGGCTATATTGTGCTGGTCGCAGTCGTCGTCGATGTTTTCCAGCTCGTTCAGCACCTTCTGACTCTTCTTCTGATCCTTGTCATCTGGCGACAGAATCGTAAGCATCAGCAGGAGCGATCATTGATTAGGTACGAACGGTGTCGAACGGTAAGGTCAGACACGTAGAGGAAGAGCGCGAGAGGGAGAGGTGTGTTACTGACAGAAGAGGACGGCTACATGCGGCATCTTCTCGATAACCATGTCCAGCATCTCGTCGGTGACGTCTTCGATCTGGTCGGCCTTCTGCTGCTGCTCCAACCATTTCAACACCTTCTCTTCGTCTTCGAGGTTGCCCTGGTACACCATCGGGATGCCTTTCTCGAAGTAGAGCATCGTTGGTACCTTCTCGATGCCGTACTCCTTGGCCTCGTCCGCATTGTCGATCTTCACGAACGCCACGCCGAGCTGGTCGCACTCGTCGTCGATGTTCTCCAGCTCGTTGAGAACCCTCTGCGATTTTCGATCGTTGTTGTCGTCTGCGATTCATCACGGATGAGTTCTGATATTATTTATTTTGTCTTTCATCGAGGCCGACGCGCGGGATCTTCGCGCGTGCGACTTACAGAACAGCACGGCCAGGGTTTTCCCATCCTTGATAAGGCGGTCCAGCATCTCGTCGGTTACGTCCTCGATCTCGTCCTTCTCCAGCTGCGACAGCAGCCACTCCAAGATCTCGTCCTCGTTTTCTATGTCACCTGCAATCGTCGTCGAGAGTCAGCCGGAGTCTCAGTTCGCTCACGAGAGAGCGTTTCCTCGTCATCATCGGTTTACTTCTCGACATTTTGTTTTTAACATATTCCGTGCCACGATAATTGTCCTATCATGAGTGAAATTTTACTTATTAAATAACATGCGCCTCGTAATAATGATCAAAGTATCTCTGGATATTATATTTAGCTTCGGAGTCTATCAAACTGGCTTTAGAGGAACTGAAGCAAGTCTGGCCTGAATGGAAAGTTTAGCATGTTCATCATCGATAATACACGCGACATGTTGAGGTCATTCTACGATGGCTGCAACAGTATGGCTGTAACTCTGTAGTATTTAATTGAAGGTCGTAAAATTAATTTTCTTATCTAAACGATGTTGTTCCGATCAGGTAGAAGAAGAAGGTTTGATAAGAGAAGATAAGTGAAGAAGTTAATGAGTGTCAAGGTAGGTTTTTATTAGTCTACGGGTCGTCTAAAATAGTTATCTTCAAGAACGTCAAAGTAAGATCAACATTTCGGTTCGGGCAAGGTCGCAAGAAATGAAAGTAATTCATTTTATTTACAATTTTACGTTAAGGTCTACCACGTGAGAAACGACTCTTACGATAGCGTCTTACGGACTTACAGCGATACTCTTACAGCCTTTATAGAATGGCCTTTTCTTCTGGCCGAATGCTCCATCCACCTACCCACCATCGTAAACGTTTGGAATTTGCTTCTCGAAGTAGACGATCGCGGGCAGATCGTCGATTCCGAACTCCTCCGCCGCCTTCTCGTCATCGATCTTCACGAACTGGATCCCATGCCTGTCACAATCGTCGTCGATCTTCTCCAGCTCGTTCAGGGCCTGCATTGATTCTTCGTCTCCGTGATCGTCTGCAAGCGAAAGCAAGTTAAAACACGACGAAAATGTAGGGTGGAACCGAGGTAAGTGCAGTGCAAACGATACGAAAGGATGCGAACAGAACAGAACGACTAGATTGTCGATGTTTCCAATCAGCGTGTTCAAGGTCTTGGAGGTGACATCCTCGATAACGTCCTCTTCATCTCCCGTGCTCTTGTTCGCCACCAGCCATTCCAGTACATCCTCTTCTCTGCTCAGTTCATCTGAGAGCATACATAACGTAATTAATATCTTTGCTTTTTTCCGTATACACCGTTCAGCAAATTTCATGTTACAAATTGTATCTTCTTCAAATTGTAATTTTTCCTATTTACGCTTATGCGTTGAAATAAAAAAAATCCACTCGCGTCCACTCCGTACTTACGTTCGTAAATGATTGGAATCTGATGCCTGTAGTACACAAGAGCCGGGAGAGGGCCGAGATTATACTCGTCCGCGAGCTCCTCGTCCGCGATCTTCACGAAGCCAATGCCTAACTGATCGGCCTCGTCATCGATGTTTTCCAGCTCCTGCAGGGCCTTCAGACACTTCTTGCAGTCCGGCTTGTCTGTCCCATTTGAAATAAAAGGATGCATTATTGCGTGTTTATTGCATCGTCGTCGAGCGACGCTGTCGTCGATGAGCGTTTCTCGATTATTCGGTCCGCAAGAGTACAGCTTTTGTGATCAAATTAGGAATTTCCCTCGTTCGAATTTGATCTCGCCTTTTGTACGGAGGCTCGTTGGTCGCCAATGTCGAAGGGGAAATGTTCGTCAGAAAAATAAAATATACAAAATATATTTTGCAACGCCAGTAAGAGCTAATTCGATGCTTCTTCCGTCACGCTTTGCTTTTCGTTTATATAGGGATAATCGTCCGATGAAATTACTTTAGATGCAAAGATGCCGAAACGATTGGATTAGTATACACAATCGCTCGCAAAATCCCAGTTATGATACACATATGTTCTATTCTAAACAGGGTAGATGCAGAATGATGCACTCTACGTTCTACACGAATCCGCTCGGTGCACACGCTCAAGACACCGCAATCGGTAATTGAATATTCGCCGATGTTTCTTCTTCTTTCTTTTTTTTTTATTAGCCTCGTGCCAAGAATTACAGTCCAAAGTGCTAATAAGTAACGAAAAGAAAGAAGAATTCGGGAAACTGTCGCTGGTTAGTCGATTTTTCGCTAAGATCGTACGTATTGCATTATTACATTATATCGACGGTTCTATCAAAAAAAAAAAAAACGAAGAAAGGAGACGATTTTTATGAAATTTCGTGAATCTATATATCAATCGCGTACATCTGTGAGATGAATGGAATGTGTGAATATAAGGGCTCTTCCCCGCTGCATTAACCATCCATTTTCCCCCGCGCCACATCTCTCTTCTTTTTTGCTGCTAAACATGCATTCGGAGCAAAGTGCTGCAGGGACGATGGGACGCAAATATGGTCATCATCAATGAGTACACAGACACACAGCTGAAGATGTATTTCAACGAGACACGGTTGGTTTCACGAGTAATACTCGTAGTAATTTTATCGCGACACGGTATGACGCACCGTCGCTGCTACTACGAATAATGCACTCGCGAAAAATCACTCGGCCCTCGCAGCATCCTTTCAGCTCGGCGTTATCGAAGCCAGCCGCGCAATTCGGCCTGACATTATACAGTTAAGAACACCAGCTTCGCGTGAAGAAAAAAGAATGAATAAATCAACCGAAAGACGATGATCGATTCAAGCTTTGGCGATGGTAAGTAATTAAACGGCGTAAACGGCGAAGTGATCTTTCATTATTGCGTCAGCCGTCAGATTCTGGATGCGTGTTGCATGTGTGTACGATGTGTGTCTGCATGTGTCTAAAGAAGCGCAGGATTTGGATGCACAGAAAATATCAGAACATCGATTTCTTTTATAAATATGTACTTACTGGAACCAGCGCCCGCGCATCGCTGCGTGTCCGGACCTATCCGTATCAACACATACAAGAATTTTCACATATATGTTTTATTTACAAGTATATTGTATGTAATCGAATCGCAAGGTGGATGATACGACTCACTCACGATAGCCACCGTGAAAGTTTGCCGTCGTCTTTCGTGTGTCCGCGAGACATCGGCCTGACTTCTCCATTTTGCGATACGATCCTTCGATCAACATCGATTCTCACGAACAATGACGGAGGACAAAGACAATGGATGGATTCCACAGAGGTGAGAGACAAATCGACATAGACAATGTACTTGTATTTACAAAGATTTTTGTGGTTGCAACACGTTGATTTCTCATCTCGTCCGATACTCTCGAAATTTCTTGCTGTGGAATCACTCGAAACGCGTACAGTTGGCGTCAGGTATGTAATTTAATGGTATGTTCTACCATCCTCTAGACGGAGAATTATACGATTTTCAGCTTTACTTACATAAGATTGAAAATCGCAGAAATAACTTTAATTATAATGGTAGGTTCGTAATTAATTAATTGAAATTATTATAATTATAAATTACTCTGTATTATGCTAATATAATACTATACTGTTATAATAATTAACCGAATTAATTATATTATTATAATTTTAAATTACAATTACTAATTAATTACTAATTAATTACAAATACTATTATAGTTTCGATCTACGTGTAAACGGCTGAAAATTGTCTAATATTAAAAAGTTTTAGTCCAGGAAACGGCACAACATTCATGACGCTGACTGTATTCGGAGTGTATGAGTTCAAAATAAATAGTGGCAGTATCATTCACTCGATACGCTAGTGAAAATAATGCTACATGCGCATAATTTGAAATTTTCAATGTCACTATGCTATCACCGGAGAGAACAGGATTGAATTAATCAGTCTTCCGTACATCGGATTCACTTTTTAATTTCAGCCGGAAATATCCACTCGACGATTCAGAATGAAGGATTCGCTCTATATGAGCGAAAAGTCATCTGAATTCAAGTGGCTCGGTGGTCACGTTACTTTCGTACATGAGTGAGATTTCATTCTAATTTAGAGAGTATGCTGAGAGATCAGCGATTGAGTGTACTGCGGAAGCGCTGCGGGAAGATATCTGAATCGTTCTTCGTGCGTGTGTGCGAAATTAGGAACAGGAAAGGTGTAACTCAAGATGCAAAATTGTACATAATGATATACATATATATTTAAATATGATTAAGAACTTCGTGAGCAACAGCAGCGGAAGAATCGAAAGCTGCTTTATTAAGTCGTTCGTTTCACGACAACGTGCACGCGATATAAGTACGCGACACGTGGATAGATTATGGTAAATCTGCACAGAAATGTTAATCGCAGTTCTTTACACTTTATGTACAGCGACGAACAACTTTTGGTCGCACACGTGACGTATACAGACGTGGTTAGTAAGATGTCGGACAGTTTAGGTGAATGATAGATGTTTCGTTTGCGGTCAGAGTGTATTACGTAGCATCGCTGCGTTTCCGTTGACTTTTTGCGCTAATCGGTACGGCTTAATATCCTAAAATCTTTCGATGGATCTTTCGAATAGTTACGTAAATCCCTATGTCGTTTTGAACAGAATCGAAACGCTGACTGAACGATTAACCACTTTCTGATTAATTGCCCCTTTATTGCTATTTCTTAAAAGATCGTTCGTTTCGTTTGTGTCTCGCAAGAATTTTGTGGAACGTGTCACGTGGACACGTTGAATGTGATGCGTTAGATCATAGTTCTTTAGGTTTATATTTTTCATCTTTTAGTAATTCAACTTGCATAAACATTTGACATGTAAACGATTGTTCATAATCTCAGTAACTGACATGCGCGAATATTACCGATTAAACCTGTCTTTATTCGACTTCTCGGAACTGAATTCCGATTAATTTTTCGAAAGTATTTCGTGTATTCTCCGTCATGTAGAATTTATTTGAGCAGTACAGCGGAACACGACATACTCGCATTCAGTGCTGCGATTTCGAGCCCGCGTACGCTAGCATTTTTCTTCCTCTACTACACACATACAGAAACGCTCCGTCTATCCACATGACAATGTACACTTTAAATGTGTCACACCGATAGACGAAGTGTCTCTCTGTGTGTGTAGTAAAAGGAAACCAAATACTTGTGTATTACGCGGGTTCAAAATCGCAGCACTGATCACATCACTGGCGGTGCATAACATTGTTAGGCGCGCCTCAGCTTTAAATACATCAAACGATGTTTCCTTATACTGTTCGGTATTGAGGAGTTGCCGGATCAGCTGTTCTGCGTTGTATAATAAAAACCGCTGATTATATCTGGTGGACGCTCAATATTCCGAACCAGGATATAATCCCTTATGCCGTCTAATGCGGACACAAGATCGAGGTCGATGCGGAAGACAATGGAGCCAATAATGGTCGCTGCTGACGTAGAAGAATCTATAGCGCAGAGGAGCTCTGGTTCTCACTCTGTGAAGGCTGGTCAACCGTCCCTCGGAAAGAGAAAGGAAAGAAGAGCATGGACAAATAACATTCACGAGAAAATCTGTCCATCGCCGATGGAAACAGGCAAAGAAGGCATATTGTCGATATCTCTGTGAAGAAAATTGTAGCGACACGCGGTAAATTGCACTTGAAAGCTGAGAGTGTCCTCCTTCCAACGAGAGAGCGATCGTCTTTCTGTATTATCGGTTAATTTAGCGGTATATTGAGAATGAAATCCGTTTCCTCTCGAGCTAAAGATAAATTTACGGTTAAAAGCGTGATTTATATATTATTGAATCGAGCAAATTGGAAAAAGGAATAAGACAAATCATACTGTAAGGAAAATAATCTCCTTGGTCGGTTGTAATATAAAGGGGAATGATAATTTAATGTTTATAAATTGTTACAATTTACGTTGTCGTTACGTCTAAATTTTGTTGATCCTAACAGTTGCGCGAACAGGCATTTGATTATCTGCCAGTAATGATCCAATGGTGGATAATAGTGGTGGAGTGATAATAGATTCTTGGCCAATGGTTGACAACCATTGATCAGCCAAACGTTGGGTCTGTCGTTATGTCATCTTATATATCGTATGTGAGACCCAGCGCTGGAGCAATATAATGAGTATAATGAGAGGAGGAAAGACTTACAGAAAAGTACCGCTACAAAGTCGGTTTCCTCGACGATTTTTCCCAAAATTTTTGCGTTAACTTCCTCGATACGGTCCGGCAAATCCATCGCTTCTAAACTCGTCAAGAAATCCAATACGTTTTCCTCGTCCATCAAGTCACCTGAAATCAGACGTATCGTGAATTTTGGTTGCTCATACTTAAGATTCATATGTATTAATTTGTACATTGTAATTTGTGTAATTTGTATAATCTGGTAATATATGTATACATATATTTCTTATTATAAATTACTGTAATTATAAATATTACGATTGAACTTTACGAAAAAATTAGTACGAGCTTCACCTTCGTATATGATCGGCTCTTTTTCGCGGAAGTACGTGAGAGCAGGAAAGTTTTTGATGCCATATTGCTTCGCCAATCGCTTATCGTTGATCTTGACAAAGTCGACTCCAAAGTGGTCTGTATCGTCGTCGATTTTCTCCAATTCGGCCAGAACTTTGTCGCATGTGGTGCAACTTCGTGCATCTGCAAAAGAAACAAAATCACCATTGAGCCAGGGGGAAGATATCATTGAGCGTTACGAAAGATAAAAGTTAAAAGCATAACAAAAATACGTTATGAAATAGCTAGATACATATAATGCTTAGCGTGGACATAATGTATTTTGCTAAGAGAGAAAATTGCCAAGTGTTTACTGTCCCTACACTGAAAAAAAAAAGAGTTTGGTAACAATTATGAAATATTTAGTGAAACGGTCTCAGCTAAAAGATTAGATTGCTGCAACCAAAGACGAAGATACGCTTCAGTTAGAAAGTCACGCGAATCGGAAAAATTATGCGGCGCAATCCGGCGAAGACCGAAGACCTGTCGTCGAGTGTGTCATGCGAAAAGGAATAATCCAATTTCGTTCTCCAGATTTCGATTTCAGGACGCGCGCTTTACGCGATTCTCAGCTGCGATTGTGACGTGAAATCGATTCTCGCTTTTCGCATTTTTTCAACATTCAACATTCCTGCCTTGGCGTACGTTCTTGGCCGGCCGTGCATCATTCGAGCGTGCAGAGACCACTTCTGCGGCGTCGTCGTTGGCGGCGGCGGTGGCGGCGGGTGTTGGGTTACAATCATTGGATATAGATATCGAGGTGTTGCCTCCGATAGTTTTGCACCGCTCGCGGTTGTCCGCGTCTCACCTCACGTTTTAGCCTCGTGGAAGATCGTAAGGACCTTGATTCACGACGAGCGTGTCGCGTCAATGATAACAGGCCGAGGGTGACTATGTTACGCGCATCGTCGCGCGTATACGCCGCACGTGCCCCACCATTTTTGGTGATGACTTCCTCAGAATAGAGCTAGAAGAAACGGGAGAGGTGGTTCCGATTCTCTTCCCCTCTCTTTCTGTTGTGTTCTCGCTCGCTCTGGCTTCTACTCTGTCTGTCTCTCTCTCTCTCTCTCTCTCTCACTCACGATTTATCTGCATCTGTAGCCGCGGATAGGAGCGGCTTCTCTTTCCACCATGCTTCTTTACTCTCGTGCGAATCGTGCGTCTGCTCTCCTCTCAGTCTTTCTCTTTTTCTCTTTCATTCTCCCTCTCTCTCTATGTCCCCCTGTCCATCCCTTCGCTCCGCTCCATCACTGACAGTAACGTAATAGCGTTCAGTTAACGGACACCCCCGCGAAATGGTTGGCAGAACGGCTTCTGACTAAGAGGCAGAAAACGAGAGGGAGATGGAGATGGACAGGCGAGGGAGAGATAGAGCGGAGGAATCCTCGGAAATCCGTGCCAGATAAATTGGACCGTGTCCATCGGTTGCTGCCGTAATAGTCGAAAGTCGAGAGAAATTGGGCGATAACCCATACAATGGTGGATGCGGATGAAAAAACGTCAGTCAAAAGTGCTGACGCAAACGGGGGACGCAGGGTATGACAGGAGTGTTTCCACGACTTGGTACTAATTAACGATCGATGAAACCTGTTGGAGTTTATACAGGGGAATCTGGGGTATAACGGGGCCACGGGGCACGATGGAATATAGTGAGCAATTTTTTTACAGAGATCCTGCCGTGTAATGAAATGTTTCGCACTAATTACTGTCAGTTTCTTACAGCGTTACTATTGTTATCAGTTGTCATATATTATTTTTAGCCGAAAGTTGCTATAAATTATTTCACGCGTTCGCCGTACTCTCACCGCGACCGAGTTACAGTTTTTCTGGTACATTTTTGCATGAGATAAGCGATGATAAAATTCTATTTTTATTACCATCAGTACGTTACCAAACGTTCTCTTCTCACTTTAGATGGAGAATCGGTGCAAATATCAATTATCATCTCTCACGTTAGTTGTTGTGGCGGTTTCAGAGATCGAGGAGATTTAAAAAATTACTATTATTACTAAGATATTAAAGGATGACTTTTTAGAAATCCGAAGAAGCGTAAATTACGATAAACTCGGAAACATAATGTTCTTCTTCATCTCGGTATTATTCACGGATAGAATAAACCCGCTAGGGTTTTCCCGGGTGACCTATTAGAGAATGTAGGCGCCAGAAATGAACTATCGAAAGAACCGTAGAAATCGGCGCGAATAGATATAAATACACACCGCGACGTCGCGTACAAACGAGTCTATTTATATTTTTTTTATCGCATAATTTATACGCAAGAGATCATCAGGGAAAAAGTAAAAATACGATAAGGAGACTCGTGTGCGTCGAGATATCTCTTTCTCTCTCTCTCTCTCTCTCGCTCTCGTTCGCATATTTCAGTTTGGAACACGACGCACAGGTATAACCCGAAAGTACAACTCGCGGAGGCACACCCGAGATTCCACGTGTCATTTACACGATAACAACAACAGGTGGTACTTCGCATTCGCGTCACTATCCCGATTAAAGCCAACAAGTGCGCTCTCGGAGCTCATTTTTCTCGTTGTCACATCGACAACTGCCACGAGGCGCTAAGGTTGGCTTCATTTTTACCAGTATCTGGCAAAGAACGCGCTCAACTCGAGGCAGAAATCTGATTCGTCAATCGGACTTGACCGATCGATCGACCAGAGATTCGCGATCTCATCCAATATCCACCGATCCGGGACTTTTCGTATTTCCGGTTATTGTACGTATTTCCTTCTTTTGAGGGAAGCTCGAAGTGACAAGATGGACGCTCCTGCGATCGATCGAGGGGAAATCGCGAGGGTGATCGCGTTGGACTAAAGGAGACACGTGAGATCGCGTCTCTCCGTCCGCCGTGCGGGGGAAAGAAATAACGTGAGATCGAACGACGACAGCCAGTGCCTAGTTTATGAGCCACTAAAAATACAAGAACAAGTGGCCTCGCTCATACACCCGTCTTCGTCGTTGTTTTCTCGTCTTCGTCGCCGTTGTTGCCCGCGGATATCTTCGTCAAGGGCGCGCGCGACGCTCTCGTTTGTCTCAATTATGTGGAGTAACGACCGACATTACGATATAAGAGATCAAAGCAGAACAACTCTCTCTCTCTATCCATCTATCCATCTCAATTTCTCCCTCTCTCTCTCTCTTTCTCTATCTGCCTCAGAACCACGCGTTTAGCTCGGGATCGTCCTCATTTTCCGCTAAATCCGCGTAGAGAAAATCGAATTAGCAGAATGATATTCCTTTCGAAGTAGCCGCGAGGAAGGAAGACAGAGGGAAGGAGTCGCTCTCTTCGGTTTCGGATTTCTGCTGAAATAACGAGGCCGGTCTCGATGGTCGGATACGTAAAGTGGCGCATCAACATAAATAAACCGCTGTGCGCACAGTAATGCAAACAAACGGCGCCGCAAATACGGGAATCAAATCACGCACGCTAATCACCGTCGTAAAATTTGGAGTTCGCGCGACGATCCGCATGTAATTACGCACACGCGACTTTTGCGAACAGAGATTGTTTTTCCGCGGCGGGGGGTGGGAATCGCGCAATGACTGACGGCGAGAATGTGTGCAAATTGAACGGTAAACAACTTGATTCACGCCAATTATTCGCGTTGCCGCGCGGCACACGCGCGTTACGATAAATCCTGAAATTTATCCCGCGGCTGTATCCTAAAATCCGTCAGTCCCGTCGCATCTTGGATTTGTTGCTCGAACAACACGCCCGGAGAGATTTTTTCGCGAATTTTCTTGAAAAAACTTGTGGCGAGAATCCTCCGAAACACGTGGCCGTAACATGTTAAGATAATTGATCAATTTCTTTAAGATTTCTTTAAAATTTTAGCTGAATATTATATGAAAATACTGTCAATACGTCTGTAAAGTTAGATTGATCATTTGAAAGCTGAGATATTTACAACTAAAGTTGATATTTTTCATACATATTCCTTGAGGTTAATATCCTATTTTGGACTTCTATTTTTAATTTCTTCTAAATCACATTTAAGGTTTGAATGAAAACCAACAGTGATATTGAGGATTAATGTAGAAATATACAAAACTTTCCAAATTATTGACCATTTTGTTTTGAAAATATAGCTGTAAGAATTTTACAATTTATTGTAATACGATGTATATGAATATATATACATATTTAAATATTTACATGCCACTTTTTAGTTTGTGTGCAGCTCTGTCAGTTCAATAGATCTATAAATAAAGCATCATGATAAAAATAAAAAATCAATAATATTTCCGTGCTTATAATTTCAGTAAAGAATTAACACTTAGTATTACTTGGGTAATAATACTCAAATAAATATAAATATTCAGATAATATTATTTAAATAAAGTTGTAGGAAAATATTTTTTTTTTCCAATAAATAACAAACTTATGTAGAGGCCTTTTAATATCACCACTGAAAATACAGTACTCTACGGACGAACTGTCTTAAATATTACTTGTGAAGCCATTTCCCCGACGGATCGGCGATCGAAGACGCGATCTTAGTCCATCGTTAGTATCCCTATAGACTTGCGCCCGTCACCATATCAATTTCGCCGATACGACCTTCCTCCTAGAAATAGAACGTATACGGAACACTCGCGGGAGCCGGCTACGCGCTCGAATAAGACTAATCGTCGCACGTGCGTGGAAAATTTCGCGGCCACGACCGCGTAAAGCAACTGTGATCCCGTGAATGGGCTCTGCAAGTAGCGCACGTGGTCGCATGTGGATGTACGTTACGAGTAATTTTTTCATATTATTAAAAATGCTACGAAAAAAAAATTGTTCGAGAATTGCCGAAAAGAAGTTTTCTGTTTTAACAAAACTGTACATCGTTATTACTGCGTATTCGTAAGCAACGACCATAAGAAGGAGCGAATAAAAGAATAAGAAAAGGGAGAAGTTTGTAAGTTTCAGCATCGTCAATGTAAGTTTTTATTAGCCTATAGGCCATCTAAATTGGCGTAAACTAACCTTAAGAATGTGATAGTAACGTCGAAATTCAATTAAAAACTTTAATATATCGAATTATATTTATAGAAGTATAAATAAATAAATAAATGAATATATATATATTTTTTTTTCCTTTTTTTTTAGAGAGAATATCTTCTAATTAGAAGCGAACGCACAA